CTGGGGGGACATGGGGACACCTGGGGACACCTGGGGGGACATGGGGGGACACCTGGGGACACCTGTGGGGCACCTGGGGACACCTGGGGGCAGTGGGGACAGCTGGGGACACCTGCGGGGACATGGGGACACCTGGGGACACATGGGGACAGCTGGGATACACCTGAGGACAGCTGGGCACACCTGGGCACACCTGTCCCCCCGTGTCCCCAGATGGTTCCCCTGGAGCCCAGGCACACCTGAGATACACCTGGACACACCTGGGGTACACCTGTACCCACCTGAGATACACCTGGGGACACCTGGGGTACACCTGTACATACCTGAGATACACCTGGGGACACCTGGGGTACACCTGGACACACCTGAGATACACCTGGGGACACCTGGGGCACACCTGTGCACACCTGAGATACACCTGGACACACCTGGGGTACACCTGTACACACCTGAGATACACCTGGGGACACCTGGGGCACACCTGTGCACACCTGAGATACACCTGGACACACCTGGGGTACACCTGTACCCACCTGAGATACACCTGGGGACACCTGGGGTACACCTGTACATACCTGAGATACACCTGGGGACACCTGGGGTACACCTGGACACACCTGAGATACACCTGGGGACACCTGGGGCACACCTGTGCACACCTGAGATACACCTGGACACACCTGGGGTACACCTGTACACACCTGAGATACACCTGGGGACACCTGGGGTACACCTGTACACACCTGAGATACACCTGGACACACCTGGGATACACCTGTACACACCTGAGATACACCTGGACACACCTGGGATACACCTGTACACACCTGAGATACACCTGGACACACCTGAGATACACCTGGACACACCTGGGGCACACCTGTACACACCTGAGATACACCTGGACACACCTGGGTTACACCTGGGTTACACCTGAGATACACCTGGACACACCTGAGATACACCTGGACACACCTGGGGACACCTGTACACACCTGGAGTACACCTGTACACACCTGAGATACACCTGGACACACCTGGGATACAGCTGTACACACCTGGGGTACACCTGGACACACCTGGGGTACACCTGGACACACCTGAGATACACCTGGACACACCTGGGATACACCTGTACACACCTGAGATACACCTGTACCCACCTGTCTCCCATGTCCGCAGATGGTTCCCCTGGAGCCCGGTTACCTGTTCCTGGGGTCCCGCCTGGGCAACTCCCTCCTGCTCAGGTACACCGAGAAACTGCAGGAACCCCCGGCCGGCACCGCCAGGGAGGGGCCTGACAGACAGGTGAGGGCTGGGGGTACACCTGGAGGGGGAGGGGAACACACCTGGGGGGGTGAAATTACACCTGGAGGGGGGGAAACACACCTGGGGGGAGGGAACACACCTCGGGGGGGAAAAATGACACCTGGGGTACCCCAAATCACACCTGGAGGACTCCAATCACACCTGGTGTACCCCAAATGACACCTGGGGACCCCAAATCACACCTGGAGCACTCCAATCACACCTGGGGACTCCAAATGACACCTGAGGTACCCCAAATCACACCTGGGGACCCCAAATCACACCTGGGGTACCCCGAATGACACCTGGAGGACTCCAAATGACACCTGGGGACTCCAAATGACACCTGGAGGACTCCAAATGACACCTTGGGGACCCCTAAATGACATCTGGGGACTCCAAATGACACCTGGGGACCCCAAATGACACCTGGTGCCCCACACCTGTCCCTGTCCCCCACCTGGTGTCCCACACCTGTCCCTGTCCCCCACCTGGTGTCCCACACCTGTCCCTGTTCCCCACCTGGTGTCCCACACCTGTCCCTGTCCCCCACAGGAGGAGCCCCCGGTGAAGAAAAAGCGCTCGGAGCCATCGGGGCCATGGGCAGGTGAGAGACACACCTGGGGACATGGGGACACACCTGGGGACATGGGGACACACCTGGGGGCACTGGGGACACACCTGGGGACATGGGGACACACCTGGGGACACACCTGGGGACATGGGGACACACCTGGGGACATGGGGACACACCTGGGGACACACCTGGGGGACACCTGGGACACAGCCAGTCATTGGTGGGGGGAGACCTGGGGATGCCCTGTGTCCCACAGGTGTGACAGGTGTGACACAGGTGTGACACAGGGTGACACGGGTGTGACACGGGTGTGACAGGGGTGTCACAGGTGTGACACAGGGTGACACAGGGTGACACAGGGTGACACAGGTGTGTCCCTGTCGCAGGGGGGAAGCCGCAGGCGCAGGACGAGGTTGACGAGATCGAGGTTTACGGCAGCGAGGCGGCGTCAGGGACACAGCTGGCCACCTACTCCTTCGAGGTACCACACCTGGGACACCTGGGGACACCTGGGGACACACCTGGGACACACCTGGGGACACCTGGGACACACCTGGGGACACACCTGGGACACACCTGGGGACAGCTGGGGACACCTGGGGACACCTGGGACACATGGGGACACACCTGGGACACACCTGGGGACACCTGGGGACAGCTGGGGACACCTGGGACACACCTGGGGACACCTGGGGACACCTGAGACATCTGGGGACAGTTGTGTCACACCTGTGTCACACCCACCTGTGTCCCCCCCGTCCCCAGGTGTGTGACAGCATCCTCAACATCGGGCCCTGCGCCAACGCGGCCATGGGGGAGCCGGCCTTCCTGTCTGAGGAGGTGAGAGACCCAAAAACCCCAAAATCCACCCCAAAACCCACCCCAAACCCACCCCA